TACCGACAGTCACAGTGATTGCACTTTGGGTATTTAGCAATTAGCTCACCTTTATGACCATTTGCGGTGTCCTCTGATTTGCGACCTTTTTTTTCCAGTTTCCAATGTTTACTTCCTGTTTCTAGCAAAACATGCCCATTGGGGAAAATTGATTTGCTGAATGACCATGGCATTCACTGAATGACCACCAGAAAAAAATGGTGAAAAATAGGATCTGGTCATATGATACTTTGACTTACGATTGCAATAACTTATGTCTATAATTTCAGGCTCAGTTATGATTCTAAATCAAGGACTGTCTCAAACAAGATAGATATTGTACCCATATCTCTATCCGTATTTGCCAAGTGACTTCTAGGCAGCGAAAAAAGTGATGGAACATAAGTGTGCATATATGCAGTGTAAATTAGCAGTTAATACATTTGGACAACCCCCCCCCCACATTAGACTTTATTTCATACATCCACTGTATCAAATAAAGCTTAATTAATACATATTAATTCCTGCAGAATTCTCTGGTTCTCTTACAGCTGTTTGAGGACATGGTAAAAAGTGGAAATGGCAATGCAACCAGTGAAAATAATAGTAGTGAGAAAGAAAATGTATTTTCAGTATGTGGGAGTGTATATACACACACACACAAAAACACACACACACACACATACACACACACACGGAAATGCAATGCATGTTATTTATCTTTATTGTTGGTTTTCCGTTAATTGGCACACTGTTGCTTGATTAGGTTAATATACTCATTTATACTGAATTTTGATAAGGAGGATTTGAAAACAAAAATGAGTAAGGAAGCCATGTACAGAGTTTGGTATATTTAAAAACTAAGGCAATATTAAGACATTTGATTAACTAGATGGCAGAAATGGCTATAATTCTTACCAGGACTGAACACCTAGTATTAGATCTTTCTCCTCCAGAATATATAATAAGGTTGTAAGCTGTAAGTTGGGTGTAAGTAAATACCTTATTTTTCGGCGTATAAAACACACTTTTTTCCCCCTCTAAAAGAGGGTGAAAATTTGGGTGCATCTTATACACCGAATGTAGCCAAAAACACGAGGCATGGAGGCAGTGATGGTCTGTCGCAATCCCTGCAGCCTGGAACAGCTGACTGGGGGTATTCCGGGAGGCTGATCCACCCGCCAATCAGCTGCTCGTGTTGAATCAGGCTGCAATAATGTGCTGAAGCTGACCTGGCTGTTCACTATTTGCTGCAAGGACATGTCAGAGTTTGCAACAGCAATCACATCCAGAAAGCACACACAAGTTCATCAGGATTCAATAACTTCTCTTTATATATAAAATAACACATGAAGCAAATATACAATATCAAAAGCAGGTTTTCCAACGTGGTAGTAAATACAAGCAAAACACAAGCAGAGGAGAGGAGTTTCAGCTTTGAGCAGCAGACTAGCACTAGCTCAACACAGACTCAGAGCTGCAGAGCTAAGCCACGCCCAGGCTTCTTGCTGTCTCCTTCCTTGTTGCTCATACAGCAAATACTGTTTCAATTTCCAAACAGCCCTCAACTCTCTCACACATTGACAGGACGCTAGCCAGATGAATACCGATGGATGCTGGTAGGCAGAGGCGGAATTTTTTTTTCTTATTTTCCTCCCCAAAAACTAAGGTGTGTCTTATACTCCAGAGTGTCTTATACGCCAAAAAATACGGTAGATAAAATGTTACAACAATTCTATATTTAAGCATTACATATATAAATATTTTTTGGAAAAAATAATATTTTATAGTTACAACGAGAATGAAACTTAATTTCAAAATGTATTATTCGTATAATGAAAAATGCTACTTAGGGCTAAAAATGTGCTTTCATTCAGCAAGAGAGCTTCCAGTTTTAATCTAGCATCATTATAAATGCCATTTTTTTCAAATGCACATATCAGCCAAGTCTGAATTACCTTCAAAATAAAGCACTCAAAATTAGCAGTCAAAGAATTGCCACATTTATTCTGATCAATATATGCAATTTACATGTAGCCTTTAAAACCCACAAATTCCCTGTTAGAAATGTTCCTTAGCTTTTCATTATCTTCTTATCAACAACACAATTTTGTCCCTAAAGCTTCTGTGACATTTTCTTTTGCATTATTTCATATTATCTTCGTCTCCATTTTCCTCCTCTTCTTTCTTGTAATGCTTTCCTTGCCCGAAACCAAGTAAAACTTTAAAGAAGATCTATACTTCCATCAGGAGTAGCAGTCATAGCAATAAAGGAATGCAAAATAATTGCACTCAAAAGCCAATGAAAGATTTTGAGTCGCCCTACTAGTGAGGATTTGGATGTTCAGAGTGTATTTCTAAAATATAGAAAAGAAATAAGTTGTGATTTGGTATTGTCACTGATAGTTTTGTGGGAGAAGGCCTTACATAGTGATCATCAGAATAGTTGATTTCTGAGCAATACAGGTAATCCTTGACTTACGACCACAACTGAGCCCCAAATTTTTGTTGCTAAGTGAAACACTCGTTAAGTGCCCCGTTTTACAACCTTTTGGGCCACAGTTGTTGAGTGAATCACTGCTTAGAGAATCTTGTTAAGATTGTTAAGAGAATCTGGCTCCTCCATTGACTTTGCTTGTCAGGAGGTCACAAAAGGGAATCACATGACTACAGGATACATAAATACATGCCAATTGCCAAATTTTGGTCATGTGATGATGCTGCAGGGGTCTTAAGAGTGAAAAATGGTCATAAATCACTTTTTTTCAGTGCTGTTGTAACCTCGAACAGCCACTAAATGAATGGTTGTAGGTCGAGGACCGCCTGTATATACATTAGGGTAAGAATAATAAAAGTTTACCCTGCCAAGATTCTGTCTGTTTGGTGTAAGGAAATAAAGAAGAGAATTTTGGCTGGATTGTTCTATGTCGTGCTTGGGCTGGATCTCACAGTAATAGAATGAAAAAAAAAATGTGTCAAAACTAAATTTTAGGAACCTATTTGCTAATATCCCTGTAAGTCGCCCAGAGTCACTGGGAGTGAGTTGGGCAGCTATATACATTTTCTTAAATAAAAATAAAATAAAACATAATATGTCAAAGTAAAAGTGGATTATAGCTACCTTAGTGAAATAAACAACTGATAAGCTAAAGTCACTTTTTTTTTCCAGAAAATATTATGGGTTGCACCAGAGGTGGGTTTCAATAGATTCTGACCAGTTCTGGAGAACCGGTAGTAAAAATTCTGACTGACCCCGCCCCCATTTATTCTCTGCCTCCCGAGTCCCAGCTGATCGGGAGAAAATGGGGATTTTGCAGTAATCTTCCCCTGGAATGGGGAGGGAATGGAGATTTTACAGTATCCTTCCCCTGCCACGCCCACCAAGCCATGCCACACCCACCAAGCCACATCCACAGAACCGGTAGTAAAAAATTTTGAAACCCACCACTGGATTGCACACTTTATAATGTGGGATGATAAAAGGAGCAACTAAGATTTGCTTTCGATATCACTAATGTTTGAGTTACATTTAAAAATGATGCTATATATGACTGCAAAGATTGCAATAATTCTTATGAACCACCGAAGCGGATCAATAGTCTAATACTCAGAATTTATTCTGCCTGAGAATTAATTTTTGAGTCTAAATTAGTTATCAGTATAGACTAAAAGCTACATATGGAGTGGGAAAATAAAAATGGGTATGACACCATGGATACCATAGGATGCCATACCCCAACAGCAGTACCACATGGAACAAACTATGCCAACTTATTTTATTTAACATAAGACGTGGCAGAATCTGGAAGAAATTGCCAGTCTGATCACTGTACTGCTCTAGGAAAATGTTGAAGACAAAAGCTACGGTACATTGAAACAGCAGTATGACCTCTAGATCAGGAGTCCCCAACCCCTGGGCCACAGGCCACTACCAGGCCACGGTCCGTTTGGAACTGGGCTGCAGAAGCAGCGGATGAATGCACGCACACGTGCAACTCCACTTGCACGAGCAGTGGGCTAGTGCACGCACGAAGCACCATTTGTGCAAGAGGTAGGCTCATGTGCAGACCACTGGTGCAAATGGAGCTGTGCACACACACACACTGTTCGCATGTAACCATTCCCTCTCCCCCCCCCACTGGTCCGCAAAACTGGAACGGTTCCTCTAGATAGTTGGCCTGATCAACGCCCTGCCAATAGTCTGGATTAAATTCTGATTCATTTTTGAATGTGGTGGCGCAGTGGCTAGAATGCAGTACTGCAGGCTATTTCTACTGACTGCCAGCTGCCTGCAGTTCAGCAGTTCGAGTCTCACCAGCTCAAGGTTGACTCAGCCTTCCTTCCTTCCGAAGTCTGTAAAATGAAGACCCAGATTGTTGGGGGAAATAGGCCAATTCTGTAAACTGCTTAGAGAGGGCTGTAAAGCACTGTGAAGTTGTATGTAAGCCTAAGTGCTATTGCTATAAGCTATATAGAGCATAGATCTCCAACCTTGGCAACTTTAAGACTTGTGGACTTCAACTCCCAGAATTCTGGGAGCAAAGCTGGGTGAGGAATTCTGGAAGTTGAAGTCCACAAGTCTAAATGTACAGTAGACTTCTGAGCACCATGCATGGTCAGAAACACAGGAGGAAGCTTGCATGAACATCCCTTTTCTCTATTCAGGTTGAGCTCCCACATCCTTGACTAAAAGTAAATTTTCACTGGGTTTGCAAAGCTCCAACCACCTCTTCCTTTTGAGAGAAAGGGACGTATTAATAAAATTCACCACCCTCAAAATGTCAAATATCAATTGTGGCTTAATTTGACTCTGTAAACCTGAGAGTTAGAAAGGGCTGTAAAGCACCGTGAAGCAGAATGTAAATCTAAGCACTACTGCTATTGCTGTTGCTATTTCCTAATTCTGGTTCAACTTCTTTTCCCCCCTCACTGTGAAAGACTTTCTGTTTTTGGTTTGGAAAATGAAGACATCGAAGAGTAAATTTATTCACTTTCTCCCTTTTTTGCTTTGCTCCTCCCAGGACGACAAAGAAATTGATCTAGAGCATCTCCACAGGCGTGTGAACAGCCTCTGCACAGATGATGAAAGTCCCCATAAACAGTTTTCCACTTCCTCTATTGACTTGACTCCACTGGACATTGACACTTTGCCCACGCGTCAAGCCCTGGAGCAAATCAGTGACTTCAGGAACACTCACATCACTACCACAACTTTCATACCAGAGCAGATCCAGACTCTTAGTCGCACACTTTCAGCTAAAGCTGCTTCTGGGTTCTCTTTCGGCAACGTGCCTGAACACCGGACTGGCCCTTTTAGGCACAGGGCTCCAAATGGGGGCTTTTTCAGAAGTCCGATCAAAACAATGTCTTCGATCCCGTATCAACCTACTCCAACTTTAGGGCTTAACATCGGCAACGATCCAGATCGAGGCACGTCTATCTAAAGCTTCAGACATTGGCTTTGTCACTGTTTCTTCTTGGGACTCCCTTTGCAAGGAGCGGCTGTGATATTGTGGAACTAACTTGGATGTAACTTTTTTAAAAAAAAGAAACCTGGAGTATTAGTAACCACTCATTATCCTTCCTCTTGCCCTCCTCTTTTTTCATTTTTCTCTCTTCTACTACGTTAGGCCCTTGATTTTTTTTTTCCAGCCCAGTTTCTTTAGGGTAGCTGCATTGGCTGAATTGAAGCAGTTCTAGAGTATGTCTTTTCTAGAACATATTGTAACTTAACTTTATAACCGTCAAGCTGGTGGGACTCGATGGTTGCATTTACTTTACTCCGAAGTAAATGCAACCTGAGCTACTGTAGGACAACTGCCTGCCATCCTTCTAAAACTCTTATTAGTAGTTATTCAGCTGTGCAGGTCTTCAATTATGATTCCAATAGGCTGTTTCTGAGCGCATCGGGATGTAAGTGTAACAACTGTTTGCCATTCTGTAAAGCAGCCGTGTCTGTTTTTTTAGGCATTGTGTAGCAGCTTTTACGATCCCGGGGGCAGGGGAGGGGAATAGCAAGTGTTTACATGTTCATACAGGTGCTATGCTTGTATTCCCACATGTTCCAAAGCACCGTTCTGGAAATGAACCCGAAGGTCTACACGGCATTATGTCATAACACTTGAAATATAGGAGCTCAATACGAAGTCTGTATCAAAAAAAAAAAAAATTACAATGTTATTTCACTGGAATTACATTTGAATTGGTTTTATTTTATATATATACATATATATATATATATATATAAAAATTGCAATAATGTCTGTTCTCTGACATCCATTTCATGCTTCTCTGCGACGGTGTGTCCTTTTTAACTGTGGACCAAAGGCCAACCTTGCAGTTTTTGTAGGGAAAACGAAAATGAGAGAAACAGTAAAGGGAAGAGGAGAGACCATTCAACGTGAGAATGCAATTTTGTAGAATTTTCACAAAGCCATTGCTATGCCAGTAAAGACTACAGTTAAATCTCCTTTTTTGCACTGCAACAGTGCATATGATCTTTCTGGAATTGTACAGAGTTTAAAAGGTGTTTTTTTTTCCCTTATGTACAGAGAACTGTATCATATGGCAGAATCTTCTGTTAAATAAATTAGTCTCTCATACATACATATATATACCTATCTATATATATACATGCTTTGGTATATGTGAGTGGGCGTGTGTGGGAGGGTATATATGTATATATACATGTGCACACACGCGCGCACACACATATATGTATATCTATAAAATGGCAGCCAGTGCTATTGCAATTTGTCTAATAAAGCTTTAGTAAAAACAAGTGTATTCTGGAAAGATGTACAGGGCAAAGAGTCATTTTTTTTTCAAAGATGGGGTGCTTTAACGCTATTCTGATTTACATTGTTTGATTGAACGTATTTTATACTGTTCCTTTTTAATTAGATCATCCAGGGCAATTTAACATTTGTACCTAGATGTGCAAGTCACTAATTTAGATTTTATTTTTTTTTTTGCGATCGCTATTCAACAGTGTTTAAGGTTATGGTTAATCATGCTTTTACATTAAATTGCAAAATTGGAAAGCACTCATTAGGTTAAAAATATAAATACATATCCACGGGGATGTCTGGTTTTCAGTTCGACAGAGCATGAAAAACAGATTGTGAGAGTTGAATAAGCCCTATTGCAATCAATACTGTCAATATTTGGAAAAGAGAGGTGAGTTTACAGGAAGAAGGCTGTTGAGAATGACTGGTGTGGCCTTAAATTGCAGTCCTATAGTGCTCCAAGAAAGAGGGAACGGGGAGCGAAAAATAAGCTTTTGTTTAAATCTTTATTACATATTCAATTATAGATGTATTTTTGATGTGAGTTCCAATTGTATAGAATGAGAAGCTGATGACAGCAAAAAGAAAAAACAGCACCTGGTGACATTTTTGAAGTTAACACTCTACTTGTTCAGAACTGTAAAAATGAGCTTCAGTTGTAATCTTTATAAACTAAACTGCGGTTAAGTAGAAAGCAAGCCAACTTATTACGTGTTTTTTCTTTGTTTTAATTTGATATGATATTTACGTTAATCTAACTCAGTTATGTGGATAGGACTTGATTATAAGAACCAGCTTAGGTGATCTGCTGTAGGAAAAAAATCAAAGTATATTCTTCAAATCTATTCTATTTTGATGCCTAATTCTGTTCTGGGAGAACATCTTGTAATGTCATTGTTTTTTGTATGAAATCTGCATAATATTGTCTACTGTGTAAGGCAGAACAATTTTCTTATCATGAGAAAGGCCATTCTGTTTCCAGGGTACAAGTGTTTAAAAAGCATGCACAACTTGTTTCCCCTTGTAACATTCATGAACATCTACACAACTGATTTATAAAAGAAAAAAAAGAACCAAAAAAAGGGAAAAAATTCTTTACAAGCTATAGGGGTATACCAGATGTTGCGGCGGTTTTAGTGATAATCCAATTATTTTCATGTGTTGTCTATTATACACAAACACATTTTGGAGGCCTCGGTTGCAAGTGGCAGAGCTTTCTGTGTATAATTTGTCTAAATAATTTGTCTAATAAAATGGTTTTTTAAACTTGCCTCCCTGCCTATTTCAACTATCATGTGGGTAGAAAAACAAGTAAGTAAGTATGAATCCAAAGCAACCCTTCACTTGGGGCCAAGTTATTCTGCGTTATAACTACAGAACAGGGGTGAAATGCTCCCGGTTCGGACTGGATCACCCGATCCGGTAGCGATGGCGGCAGGTGGTTCGGAGAACCAGTAGCAAAAATCCCTGCGGCCCTCCCCCCCATGTCCAGCTGAGCCACGTGATCATCAGAGGCTGTTTTTTTTTACTTTTAATAGCATTTTTTCTACAACCTCTTCAGCCGAAAAAATGCTTTTAAAAGAAAAAAAAAGCCTCTGATGATCACATGACTCAGCTGGAATCGTCAGAAGCTTTTAAAAGCATTTTTTTCTGCAACCTCTTCAGCTGAAGAGGTTGTAGAAAAAATTCTTTTAAAAGTAAAAAAAAAAAAAAGTTGGCCAAGCCCACCCAGTCACATTACCTCCCCACCAATCCACGCCCACAGAACCGGTAGTAACAAATTTTACATTTCACCACTGCTGCAGAATCATTGCTCGGTTTCTAATTTCTAAGAAAGGCCTCAAAAGGAATGTTTAGCTTAATATTTATATCATATTTTTAAAAGTCAATGTCCTCTTCTCTCAACTGGTTAGATCAAGGATCCCCAACCCACAGGCCGCAGCCCCGTACCAGGCTGCGGCCTGTTCAGAACTGGGTCACACAAGCAGGAGGGGGAAAGTGCACAAGCGTGCTCGGCTCCACTTGTGTGAGTAATGGGCGCACACGCTCAAGCATGAAGCTCCATTTGTGCAAGCAACTGTTGCACACATTCCCGCCTCTCATGCAAATGGAGGTGCACACACGGAAACATCTCTTTTTTGTACACCCTGCCGCCGCCAGGCCACAAATCCGGAATGGTTGGAGATCACTGGGTTAGATCTTAGAGCAACATATGTGGTAAAACAGCTCTGAGAACTACTGATTTGAAACCTCTGGCATTCATTGAATTCACTGGAATAGAGAAATAAATCAAAGGAGGAAATTTACACTCAAATTTCCCAGAAGTAGGTGGGCTTTACAAGGCAACTCCCCCAAATAAAATGTCCATCAAACGTTGTACAGTAATGCTTCTCTGTATTTAACAATATTTAATGGGCTTCTTCACAGATGTCACTTGTCCTGTACTTAGTAGCTGACCAAAGAAATCATATACTTTTTAATTATCAGGTGAGTTGTGCTTCCAAACTTAATCAAATGCACATTTTTACATGTGACAAACATGCAGCTTCATTTTTGCCATTTTTTTTACCCCACTTGGAGATGCCTCTTTATCAGTAGTTACCCCTAAAGCACAATACTTAATTAATCTGTTAATTCCCATTGAGTCTTGTTCAGCTTGTGTCGTCTGCATGAACAAACGTCTGCCATTCTGATTTTAAGGAATAACTTAACAGTTGTTCCAAGGTTTTTAAGAAGAGACTGGACAGTCACTTGTCTGAAGTGGTATAGGATGTCATGCTTGAGCAGGGGGATGGACTAGAAGACCTCTAAGATCCCTTCCAGCTCTGTTCTGATTCTGAGGTCATTCCAGTAACCGGTTTAATCCACAGGAATTTGTTCATGGATAACTCCATAATTTTAGGGGTAGGACTGAACTATTTTCACCAAAAGGATCTTAGGAGAATCTGTTAAAGGCTATAAGGACTGAAGACAATAATAATAAAATAAAATAAAATAAAATAATAAAATAATAAAAGAAATAAAATAAAATAAAATAATGAAATGAAATAATGAAATGAAATAATAAAATAAAATAATAAAATAAAATAAAATAAAATAAAATAAAAGAATAGAATAGAATAGAATAGAATAAAATAAAATAAAATAAAATAAAATAAAATAAAATAAAATAATAAAATAGAATAGAATAGAATAAAATAAAATAAAATAAAATAAAATAATAAAATAAAATAAAATAAAATAATAAAATAATAAAATAAAATAAAATAAAATATCTAAGACTTTACTTACTATGATTCCAAAAAGCATATTCTGGACATAATACATTTACCCAATGCATATATAGAACGTGCTTTGGAGGTATGAAAAGGCTGGACAATCAAATGTTAAGATGTTTTGAAATTATAGCAAACACACTTCCAAATTGGTATCCTATAAAACAAAAACTTCCTATTTGCTTCGATAGAAGAAAATCCCCTAACTACTTTCAATAGGACAATGCTTTCTTAAAAGAAAACAGACTCAGGAAGAAAAAAAAAGTGGAAATGTCACTCTGTGATTTAATATTCCATTAGTCCCGAATAATCTATCATAAATCATATATGCAATAAATGCCAAAAATAGAAGTCATTATTGTCAGTAGCTTGAACAAAAAATGGCAAATTCCCCACATTTAAAAACCATTAGCATTCAACGTGGATGAAAGATTGCAATTTCTACACAGATAAGTTAGAAATTAAAAGTCATACTTTGGTAGCACCTCATGAAAGTATTTTATGGTTACGTTGAGCAATGTACTTTTGCAGATCAAATATGTAGCGGTGGATGGCAGGGAGGCAACTATCATTTATTGTATGTTTAATTAAGATACCAATGATTATCTCTGTTGGACTGAATCAGCCAGACAGCTATTAGGGGAGACAGGCACTCCTCAATTAATTGGGCCCTATGCTATATAATCAGCAACTTGAACTGCACCTGGAAGCAAACTGGCAACTATTTATTTATTTATTGAATTTATATTGCTGCCTATTCTCCCCTGGCGACTCAAGGCGGCTTACAGAATAGAAACCACATTTAAAACAATAAAACTAATAAAAAGAATCAGATAAATAAATATAGTATAATATAATAAAATCACCCCCCACCCCCTGCTCCGGCAGCAGCAGATCACATGAGCCATTTAATGGGCTCCATCCCGCTCTGGGTTCCCTAGGCCCGCTGACAGAACCAGGTCTTCAGCGCCTTCTGGAAGAGTATTAGAGTTGGGGCCATTCTAATCTTTGGGGGGGATGATGTTCCCGAGAGAGGGGGAGCCACCACAGAGATAGCCCTTCTTCTGGGTCCCACCAGGTGTATCTCCCTTGGGGATGCCCCAAGGTGCCTCCCTATTGGCACAACTATTGTGACTCATGGGGTAAAGGTGTTACATGGCATACTGAGAGATACCCATTAGTGTCTATGCCACTACATTCTGGACCAGCTGAAGCTTCTGGATGGTCACCAAGGACAGCCCCATGTAAAGTGAATTGCAATAGTCAAGCCACAATATGACCAGAGCCTGAATTATCATCATCATTTAACGACCTCCATAATCCCTTGTCGGGTGGAGTCTGGGGAACTGAATGGAGCTAGCAGAGCATTTTAATGGCCGGATGCCCTTCCTGCCGCCAATGCAGAGCTTTGTTCAGCAGATATATTCTCCTTGTGCCCAGAGAGAGAAATAGCTGCCTCTAGCCTAGGATCAAACTCACAGCCTCCTGATTGCAAGGCGAGAGCTCCTCCTCTAGGCCACTGCTCCACTCTGCATGATCAGCCTTCCTGATCTTGGAAAGAGTGCAACTGGTGCACCAGATGAACCTTGGCAAAGGCCTTCTGGGCCAGAGCTGCTACCAGGAATTGTGCGTCCAGGAAGACCCCAGATTGTGTACTACGGTTAAACAGGGAAGCACTACCCCCATCCAAGGTTATTGGATAGGTTGGATAAAGCACATGATTAAGTATGTATGTATGTATGTATGTATGTATGTATGTATGTATGTATTTCTCTTTAGCCAGGTTCTTCCTACGTAAATTTTCCTACGTAAAGAGCCTTGGTAGTACAGGGGTTTAAGGCACCCTGTTATTAAGCTTATTAAGACCAGCTGCCTGCAATTACTGCAGGGTTCGAATCTCGCCAAGGCTCAAGGTTGACTCAGCCTTCCATCCTTTCTAAGGTAGGTGAAATGAGGACCCAGTTTGTGGGGGCAATAAGCTGACTTTGTATAAATATACAAAAGGATGAAGGCTATTGCTGAGCACATTGTAAGCCGCCCTGAGTCTTCAGAGAAGGGCGGCATATAAATCAAATTTTAAAAAAATCATGATTTTTCTGCAGCCCTAGTTCAGTGAAATCCCAATCCACTAGTTTCTAGGCTTTTTTTCCAGCAGCCAGCAAGCTCCTTCCTACTAGAAAAAAAAGCCTAGAAACTAGTGGATTGGGATTTCACTGAACTAGGGCTGCAGAAAAATCATGATTTACGTAGGAAGAACCTGGCTAAAGAGAAATACACATAAAGACCTACAAAAGGAAAAGAAAACATATACATACATACATACATACATACATACATATATATATGTATGTATGTATGTATATATATATATGTATGTATATATATATGTATATATATATATAATATCCCTACTTTAGAAATATTCAGTTCATAGCTAAATAAGAGGCAAAATCTCCACAAATCAGAGAACTGAGCTTTCTCTGAAGATATTCAAGCTACACATTGGTGTAAGTGGAAGAGAGGTGTGATTCCCATGGACACTTGGAAAAACGCTATTGATATCCAAAGAGAGAATGAAATGTCATGACCGCTAGCCTTTGCTTTCAACCAGCAACTTTATCAGGGCTCTGAAATAAGATACCAAAGGTTTCATCATATAATTTTGCTGAATGTCATCCAGAATCTCTTCCTTGTGAAATGGGCAACTATATAAATTAGGCAGATAGATAAACAAAAACATTGTGGTGTTTTCAAATTTCAGAAGACAGTTATGATACTAACGTGCCATTGCTTCCAAAAGTGTTCAGAAAGCAGAAAAATCTGAGACCTCTCATGCTAGTAATTTACAAGTATTCAGCCAGCTTCTTGAACCTTAGCTATTATTATTATTATTATTATTATTATTATTATTATTATTATTATTATTATTATTATTATTATTATTATTATAATGGATTTTTAAAATGCTTAACTTTTGATGTATTCTAGTCT